CGGATGGGATTGATGGAGATTGGGAGGATAAGATAGCGTGGTGCTCAAAAGTGCTGCGGAGTGGAACGTGACAGATGTTGACGGAGAAGAAAGGGCTGTTGTTTTAAGATGCGATGCTGCAGACAAATCACTCACTGACCACAATGCCACGCTACCACACTCGTCCCTGAAATTGTCTTTCCCCACTGAAATGAATGGGCATGTCATTCATCCCAAAATAACAAAATCTTTCGTTTTTATTAAGAAAAACAAGACTGTAACATTTGGCTCGATATAAAACTCTTTCAGCAAGTTTCAAGTAGGAGTGGTGATAAACATCTTGAAGTCTCTTCATGAATCTGGGCTTGGTTTTCTACTCCCACATTCCACGCGTGTTCAATTCATGGACGAAGATGCTTTGAGTGTGAATAGCTGTTGGTGGATGTGAACCGTGTGATTCGTCGGCCAAACTTCGCCTCTTTGCCCAAAGTCAGCTGGCATAAACCGACCGACGGACGGAGGATATTTTAACGTGAGCGTACATGATGGTTGGAGAAAGTGCAGTGATGAAGGATAAAGGCAGCCAGCTTGCTTGTTGCTTTCTCATTAACAGGTTTGAACATCAAAATGGCCACGATTCTTATGCGAACCCACATGCGCATACACGCTCCAAGCACTCGGGCGGTGCTAATGAGGTAGCGCCCTGCTCACTGGCCTGTGGCCCTCCTGGGCTTCCCTCAGAGGTTAGCCGTGTAATTACTCCATCCCCGTAAATACAGATTCATCATCATCCTGGACACCCCCCCCCCCCCCCCCATCGACACAGAAGGAGGGGCAGCGGAAAGAGCAGGAGGGAGAGGAGAGGAGGGAGGCGGGAGGTCTAATGATTTCATTACTGTGCTTAAAACCCACTCGGGCTAAGTGATGGTCCACTCATGTGCCGTTTCCTTTCTCAGAAGCGCCATAGGGCACTTGTGCAGCTCAAAGCTGTTTTCCGAAATGCATATCGTGATGTGTGTGTGCGTGTGTGTGAGAAAGAGAGCGAGAGAGACACAGCGCGAAAGAGAAATATAAAGAGAGGATGCTTAATCTCCATGGCATTTTAAATGGCATTCATAGAGAGAGTGGCCCTTGCCTCATTGCCAAGGTAAACGGAGCCAGGGGACTCTCCATTTCAGCCCGATAAAAGAGCAACGTTAAACACTCTCAGCATTTCCTTCCTCTCTCTCTCTCTCCCCTTCTCTCTCCCTGCCTTGTTTCTCACTCAAAATTGATGTTGTTTTTTTCATGACAGGGAGGGAAACGAGACATATCCACCATCTAATAGGATAATATAACCCCATTCAACACACAGCCTAGCCTCCCACCCTCTCTCCCTCTGCCTCTCTCTCTCTCTCCATCGCTCTCTTTCTCTCTCTGCCTTTGTAGCCGCCCGATTTCCATAGTGTCTCTGTGGAGAGGCAGTTAATGAATTCCTCTGAGCTGGAGAAAAGGGGGGGAGAATGGTTTTGGCGGTTTAGAGAGAGAGAAAAGGGGACGGGGGGGGGGGGGTGCAGGGGGAGGAAGGCTTTGAGCTATGCCATTCAACTTCACAGCCGAGGCCCGCTTTTGCATTCACAGTGTGTGCGCGTCGGGCGTGAGTGTGCGCGCGGTGCATTTGTGCGTCTTTTAACATGAACCTGCTAAGACTACCAAATATTTAGACTGGCCTCAGACCTCTCTTTATGGCGACGGTGGATTGAGGGATCTCTGGAGGCAGCTTGACTCCATTTGAAAGCCATTCCCCGCTATTAGCCGCGCGCAGACAAAGGAATAACTTACATTCGGACACGTTCAAATGAAGTCCCGCAATCCACTCGCGCTGCTCATTTTTCCCTCCTGGGTCGTTTTCGGTGAGGTAAATAAAAATGTCACCGAGCCTTGTGTTTTGGCAGCGAGTTAACCGATGCGAGTCGCAAACAATGATGATTCAACGAGCTGAATGAACACACCGGACAGCTTTTTGTTGTGTGGACGGATTTGCTGATTCACCTCCAATTTGTTTTATTTTGGTCTTTGTGCAAACAGAGTTGTTGTTGTATGTGTGAGCGTGACTCTTGCCTCTTCATTCCCTTTCGACCGTGTTATCGAGTGCAAAGTTTTGGGAGAATATTGACTATAGTGCACCTTTTGTATTTCACGACATGCTTAGTAAGATACTGATATGAAATATATTGAAACAAGATCTGAAATTGGATCTCTGTCAACGGCATTTTAATTAAAGACTATTAAATGCAAATCATTTTGGTAATTGTTAAATAAACACGATAAGACAAGTGATGCTAGAGTCATGATGCAAATGATGTGATATTACCAATAGTGTTTGCCAACCGATTGCTTGCCAGTGCAACAGGTGAAGCCGTTGCCGGGAACGGTCAGGCCACTTTCGCCAATCTGAATTAGTTCTGGGCAATGTTCATGTTTTTCATGGTTTTTATTCGTGTGACCAATGTCCATACCTTTTTAAATGTAAATCCCACACTTGTTTTTTTTTTTTCATTGTACTTTGTAGACTTGTCACCAGCCAATCATCATGAAAACCTCGAATGTATTTTTCCCCCCCTTCTTATTTCAGAAGCTCACCTATCTCGTTCATGATCATGACATCATATCGGTGGTCTTTTCAGATTCTTAATTCTGTGATGTTGGTGCTCAGGGAAGGAAGGATGAGTGCCGAGTGGTGGGTGGGGGAGGGGGATAAAAGTCTTTGCTTTACCACTTGAGAGCGCCGATAAGCACTGATAGACCCCGACACGAAGGCAGATGAATCACCGCGACACGTAACAGATAGGCCTGACAGCCTCAGGTAGCGACCCGCCGAACTGGCACTTTTTTTTTTATCATCACAGCGCGAGGACGTACGACACCGGAGATGTGATGATTAATGGCCATTATAATAATACAACCAATTATATCCGTTGCCTTTTGCCTGGAGATGGATCCTGCTGACTGAACATTTTGACCCAGGGGGGACACGCTCGACAAAGAGGCTATCATTAGCAATTAATGGGCGTGCCGGTGTTTGTTTGTTAATAGCTCCTTCAGAAGGACTCATTTACAGTGCATGGGCCAGAAAACAGACCCCTGAACTCCGGCAGGGGTCACTTTGAATCAGCCCCGCTTGTGAAACCGCAACCGCTTTTCCGTCGCCGATCGCCGTTAAATGCTGTTCCATCATTCCCCATTGAGAGAGCGATGAAAACAAGCGATGTTCAACAAGATTGCTGACTTAAAAAAAAAAAAAAAAGGGTGAATTCCCTCCTCTCCAAAAAGACTTAGCGGGGGGGCTTTTCTCATGGATAGCAATCTGATTGTTTTCTAAACGGATTATTAACTCTTTTGTTACAGTAGGGGTCACTTGAATGCTTCTTAGGGGCCATTAGCATTGCTTTAAAGAACTCGCACACACGCACACAGGCACACTCACACATGCGCGGGGCTGTGTTCTTGGATTTGGCGTTTCTTTGTTGTTCTCAGCGGGAGCGGAATGACACCGTTATAATGCCGTTAAAAACAATAGCTTGACATAAAAGAGAGGTGTGGGAGGCGAGGGACGTGCGTGTGTGTGCGTGTGTGTGCGTGTGTGTGCGTGTGTGTGTGCGTGTGTGTGTGTGTGTGTGTGTGAGATGAAAAGTAGCCCTTATAGGGTGGCCTGTGAGAGTTTGACCCGCCGCTCTTTGCGCTCTGTTTATTTCACCTGGCAGGAAAAGGGGCGACGCTTCCCTTGGGAAAATCAAAGATACTTAGCTCAGGTCAAAGCATCACGGGCCACCGAGCACCGAGGCTCGTATTGACCATATGAATGTGGTGGGGGACCCCGGGGAACCGCCCGAGTCTGGCTGGGTGCCCCAGCTAGCTTTGAGCTCCTGTTCTACGGGACAGATAAAAAGGGTATCCCTTACAGGCTTTGACCTCCAGCCACCCCTGTCATGAGGGGGAGGGGTCAAAGTTCAGATCAATCGGCTCCCCACGGCCCGCTGCCCGCACCGGCGCTTCGTCAGCCACTAAGTGCCAGTACCAGAAGTCGCTGCGAGGGGGCGTGGCCTCTCTTTCATCCAGCTGACTCGAGTCCAGGTTTCGATAAATGAACTCAGTGTTTTGTTGAAACATGTCATATGAGCTTTGTGATGCTTAGATTATGTATTGAGAAGGAGATCTGTCGGAGAGTTTTGGTCAAAAGTTTCCACACACTCATTGTGAGTTTGGATGTCATCGAAAGTTTGGACTTTTAATGATTTATTTGAGCCGTTGTTTTGCACGGTGGAATAATTGATTATATAATGTCGAACAAGAATTTGATGCACGCGTTTTGAGTTGATTTGGGATTGTATCTAATCCGTGCGAGTACAGAGCAATATTCTAAAGCGCAGCCTCAATGTTGTACTGTACACATTCCACATAAATATTTGTTTACATTGAAATTTGCATAATTTTGTCGGGATGACCAAAAATCCGCATTGCGGAGTGTTTCCGGTAGGTGAATGGCTCTTTACATATAAACCTAGAATGCTGCCTTTCAACTCCTGTGTCTCACACTGCAGCAGAAAGTTACTAACATTACAGTGTAATGGATGAATAGTTGGAAGCCCCGTTCAAGTACATACATGTGGTCGACTACTTCTTGTGTATCCAAGACGGAACAAATTTGCACAAACTGGTGAATGGCTCTTTACATATAAGCCTAGAATGCTG